ATCCCTCCTTGTTGATGAAGGGTATCTTTGCAGTGGTCTTGAAGGCATCAGAGAGCACAAGCCCGGAAGCATGGTCAAGCAGGGGACGGTTCTGATCAAAGGAGGTGCGTGTGTATGTAATGCAAACATAATACACTTTGGGAGGAAGTTCTTCAGCACGTGGACATCACAGCTGCAGTGAGGAGCTGCCCTGTGAGCCCCTCAGTCCTTTTCTTCCTTTCCCCCAAGCTGAAATGGAATCTGTGTTTCATCCTTTTAAGATTCTGTTTACTTCAGCATTCTTCTGCTCCTGCAGTGTATTGTCCCAGTGGTATCTGAGCAAAGGACAAGCTCTGTGCCTGTGGCAAGTGCCCATTCAGTTGTTCCAGCTTGTGTATTAGTAACAACTCAACCTGTGTCACCACTTGCTGAACCCGTTGAACTCAGGTAGCTTTGAAACAGTGCTGATTTGGGTGTCCCGGGTTTCTTGCCTGGGTTAGCTGAGGTCTGGAGCGAGGTGGTAGACACCAGTGTGGCGGGGGAAGGGAGGAGAAGGGGAAGAAATAGGAAACAAAAAATAAGAGGTTAATGAATATAGGCTGAAAAGAGGTTTCCAGGGAGATGTTGCAATTGGGAAACACAGCAAGGGGATATCAGCTTTCAGCTCGCTCCCTGCTGCCTAGTGCTTGTTGGTGGTGCTTTTATTTAGATGTGAGTTAGTGATTAGCGGGGAGCCAGAAGACTTCAGTCTCACTCTGGAAATCACAAGGAGGTCATCTCAGCATACTTGCACTGCTTCTCGTTCCTACCTTTAATCATCTAGACCATGAGCTGCTCAGGGCAGAGACTGCCACTTGATGTATTTATTCAGGGTCTGGATTCATGGGTGCCAATCTCAGTGCCATAAATAATCTCAATTTCTTCAAGAATTTTTAATGCGAATTGGCAGAAACTGAAGAATTATGTAGACCTTCACTGAGCGAAGATCAGGAAGTGTTCAGCTTATGAAACTTCAGCTACAGTAGGGAGCAGTGCATAAGTGTTGCTGTGCAAAACCTTCAGAAGGTCAGGAGTTTGCTGCAATAAGAGCAGTCCGAGCTCCCTGATTTGTGAGGCTTTATGTAAATAGCCTCAGCCCTTTACCTTGAATGGAACTTTTTGTGGACTTAGTCAAGTAAGTTGCTTTTCTTCATACTGGTAGATCTAGCTGCTGATTTGAGTCTATCCCTGGATAATGGGGAAGCACATGTTAGCGACAAGTTATTCTTATGTTGTATCAGAATGTGGATCTAGCTGAGTTCTGGGGATGCCATCCTTGTTGTCCTCAAGGTATTGGGTTAATAACCAAGATGCCAGCAGGTGGTGCTCAAGAATACTTGGTATAGCTCCTGGCTTTTGTAGGACAAGCCAAAATGAGTGTTGAACATTGCCAGCAAATTTTCCCATTTCTTATTATACAGCATTTTAACAAAGTGTTCTGCAGCAGAGGGGAAAACAGTTCCAGTTCTCTGTGCTTTCTGTTCCTCTGTACACTTGTGTCCAGCCAGAGATACCTGCATTTCACATAAGCTCCATCCAAATAAAGCTATATTACCAGCTTGGCTCTGCCACCCCTCACTGTGCCAGGGGACCTCTGTGCAGGAGGGTGACCTTTTCCCTTCTGCTGGAACTGCCCTCGTTGCCCAGCAAGAAATAAACAATTGCTGGCACACGTGGCCCTCAGAGCCATGTACATCCCTGCCATAGCTCCTGCTTGGCCATAAAATAAGTGATTAGTTGGGTGTCGTGTGGAAAAGGATTGAAGAACAGAGAACTAAAACTTAACTGGCTATTAAGGATTAGAGTTAGTTATTTTTTCTAATGTCATATATTTGCTGACAGGAAGACTGGATCTCAAAAATACAGAATGTGGCAAAGCAGGGATGAGGTTTGGTCATCAGGATGGCCGACTTCATCCTGTCCTTTTTGGCTCAAGCATGCTGACTGCTTTAAGGTATTCTTTACATGAGTATTCATGTATAAAGGTATTCTTTACATGAAAGGTCTTCTTGGGGTCAAGAAAAGCAGCTGTGCCATGCCTTACATTTTTGTGCATTAGAGTTCCTATTTCTTAGTTCTCAACAATACAGTATTATCATCCCTGTCCGGGGAAGTGGTGAATGAGCAGGGGCTATAGATGAGTCCATCATGGGATAGAATAGCATATGAAGATGTCATTTAAAAAAGCTGAAAGTTTCCTATGCCGTAGACTTTACTGAGCTTTCTGTTCATAGCAATGTTCAAAAGCTTTTGAACACTGATGGCAAAAACCACTGCCTACAGATTTTTGTCACATGCTTGCTTAATAACATTGGAAAAGTAATTTTTCTCATGTGGGCTTCAATTCCTCCTCCTCTAAAAGAGGATTTAGAGTTAGATCCTTGGGTTTCTGCAAGACTTAATTAATTAGAGTGATTTGAGAATGAAGGATGCCCTGCCAGTGTCACTTATTCCCTATGCTGCTTCTTCTTCTGGATACTTATTAAATTCGGTGGTTTTGTTTTAAGAGTCAGCTTAGCAAGGTTTTTGGAATGACGTTAGCTCTGTGGTTCTGGCTGGTCAGTAACTAGAAGGGTCAAATTCCAAGCTGGCATGTGTTATTTTTACTCACATAAGTGGTCTCAGGAGCTGCTGCTTTTAGCAAAATCCGTGTGAAGCTGGATTCCCAGCCCAGGATTTTTCTTGTACACATTAATCTTGTGATGAATGCCGTGTGAGCAAGTGAAGGCATCTTTCACACTGTGTTCAGGGAAGGAAGCTCCCTGCGCATGTCCACATGCCCGTTCTCCACTACAGGTCTTTGCCCAGCAGCTTTGCTTTTAAGCTCATGAGCAATTGTTTCTCCCTCACTCCGGAATCAGCGCAGGTAGAATAGAGCAGATGGCTCAGTGTTGGCCAAGTGCACGCTGATACAAAGCAAATTGCTTCTGTATCTGACTGATAGGGTTCAAGCTTTAATTGAGGCTTTCAGCAAGGCACTCAACAGTGAAAAGCGTTCCGCTGAGAAAAACAGTGGCGTAACCATGGGCAAAGGTTCAGGACAGCAGAGTTCAACCTTCTTCAGGACAACATCCCTATTTATTTATTAATTTCCACCTGCTTTCCCACCATCACTCAAAAGGCTGTGTTCCTTCAAGGCTGTAGCTTGGTGATGCACTCTGATGTGCTGAGATCCGGAAGCAGAGGCTGTGAATTGTGTGGTACTTTTTGCTGGTGTGCACACAAAGCGGTTTTCCCTGAGTGTTGCCTGTGAGTGGCTGTCTGCTTTTGTAGGTCTCCCCAGCTCAGCAGGCAGCACAGCTCCTTCTGTCTTCTCTCTTATGTGCGTCAGCATCAGGAGAGCTTTAATTTTTCGTGGCTGTCTCTAAAAAGGAAAGGAAGCCTCCCTTGCCTTGGATACTTGGCTTTCTTTTGTGCTGGAGCAGATCCAACAAAAAGACCCTAAAAAGAGAACTGTGGATAAGCAAAATCGAGCTCTGTGTGATTCAGGTTTCCTAACTACTCCAAGAAATCTGAGGTGATATGGAAGCAGTGCTGGCAGCTTAAAGCCATCAGTGAATTCTCCCTGCCCCAAGGAGCTTGGAAGTGCAAAGTTTTTTGCTCTGTTCTGAAATCCAAAACATTCAGTAGCGTCCACAGCATGTTTTGCTGTTCCTCTGCTTTGTCAGTGGCTTAAAATGCACTGGAAGTGTGAACTGCTGCCAGCATGCTTTTGTACTTGCCTGAATTCAATTAAAAAGATAATTGGATTGCTTTATCAGCCTTTACGTGTCAGCCCAATGCCAGCCTCTTCCACCCCATCCAACAGTGCAGAAAAACCCAGAGCATCCAAAATCTGTTTTTCTGCATTGTTCTCTTTTCTTGTGTTTCAGATGGGGCACAGAGGTTGTGCTGTGCTTTGTGTTGAGCATTCTTAGAGCTGCTGCTGTGCTGGGGAAGGAGTGAGCAGCCTGATGGGGTGGGCCCAGCAGCGAGGAGAAGGGAAAATGCATGTAGCAAAGCCCCAAACCAAAACTGATCAAAGCAGGTCAACCCTTTGCAAAGTCTGCTTTATCACATTGATGATTCAAGCTCAGCCAAATCTTCGAGCTGCATGAAATGGGCAGTTTTTGTGACCCAACATGGGCCAACGCAGTCCTGCAGGTCTCGAGGCCCGTGCCTTGGCAAGCCCTGCTCCATGTGCTTCGTGCTGTCATCAGGAGTGGTGTTTGGACTCCAGACATCGCTTCCTTGATATTCTAGAGTTTCATTAAGTCACCTCTGGGGATTTGGGTGGGTGGACTTCCTCTGGGCAGCACTATTTATAAGAGCCAGCAGCCTGCAGTGCAGTCGTGTGGCAATGTGGCTGCCGAGGAGCTGCTGGGAGCTGCCTGGAGCTCAGAGCAGCCAGCAAGGAGTGAGGAATGATGTTGCTGGGCAGCCTGAGCATGGAAGTGCTGACATGCTGCTGCAGGGAGGGCTTAAAGACCCAGCCAGTGTGTTCCTGTCACCACTGGAGAGTCATGAAACTGCTACTCTTGACCTTCAAGGAAAGGGAGAAAAAACGACCTGTGGATCTGTGGGAATTTGTCACCGTGATGAAGTTCATTTTTATTTGTTCTGAATGCAAGTTTGTCAATGAGCAACACAGAATAAAACATCTGTGGAATGATATTATGACCTCCTCATCCCTGTGATTAGCTTCCTTAAGAAGTCCTAGAGCTTTGGAACCAGTGCAGTAGCAAGTACCTGTGGTTAGGCTGAGGAGTAAGGTGTTCTCAGGAGAAAGTGGTGGAAAGAAATGCTGTGGAGTTTAAAAACTGGTTTCAAAATCAAAGGAAACCATTGGTTTTATTTTCCATTTAAAAGTGTTTAAGTACAGCCTTTTAGCAAACAGGAAAGGCAAAACTCAAAATACAGAGCAATCCACTTGAAGGTCGAACATAAGTATACATCTAAATCAGCAAGATGCTGTTGACACGAGCCTTTCCTTTTCCTTGTAGAAGAAGATATACAAGTACAAGAAGGTGCTCAGCAACCCCAGCCGCTGGGAGGTGGTGCTGAAGGAGATCAGGACACTGGTGGATATGGCGCTGACATCTCCGCTCCAGGATGATTCAATTCACCAAGCACCACTGGAGATCGTCTCAAAACTGCTCTCAGAGGTATGGCCGTGCTCCTGCAAGACACTGTCACTTTAGATGAGGGACAAATAGTTTAAAAGTTCATGCGTGGGTTTTATTTTAACTTGGTCTTTCAAAATTCTTCTGCTCGTGATTTGAGTGGAATTTGTACTTGTTGGAGAAAAAGAGAATTTGATCCATGTTTGGTTTATTTCCAGAAACAATGTGTTTTCTCTTGAGGCTATGGGGTTTTGTTTGGTTATTCATGGTAAATTTGTTATGGATCTGATTCAAGCCTTATTTCAAGTAAGTGGTGAAACTCCCCTTGACTTCTATTCCACTGGCTTTGTTTACATGGCTGGTAATGCCTGAACAAGGCCAACAATATGTATTTGCTAATAAATTCATCGTGCAACTTTCTATTACAAGTTATCTAAAAGAAAAGTACTCTTCTTCTTCAGAGACATTTACATCTGTTTCAGATAATTAACTTTTCATGGATAGGAAGTATAATGCCAGGCAAGTTTTTGGTGTCCCAGTTCTGATGTGCAAAGATTTGTGATAACCATAGAAGTTGCTAACTGGTGTTCTTGCAGTCAGTTAAGATCTTAACAGCCTAAAACTTTGTGACCTCTGAATGGATCATGCTGTGGAGAGAGCCAAAACCACCGCATTAGTCAAAACCAATGACTTCCAGTAGGTTTATTGGCTTGTACCAGGTCCATTTTAGAAGAAGGAACTTCAGGAAAACTGTAGCAGTTATTATACGACCAAAAATGGTATCCAACAATTCTTTTACTAATTTTCTTAGAATTGTACAGCCTAGTGGCAGAAAACTGCTTAAGAAGTTTATCACTAGCTTTAGTTTTCCATTTCATTGAATTCTATTCTGGCATCCTGGTGCTTGCTCAGCTTTCATGGCTGGGGAGCCTTGAATCTGATAGTGCTTAGGAAGAAGTGGAAGCTTGTACAGCCTCTTGTACCAGGTGGTATAAGATCTTCCTTAAGAGAATGATTTTAATAAGATTAATTTAATTCTGAAATCAACAATTGCAGCCTTGAGCATTTCTTCTGATGCCTGATGGTAGCAGAGTACAGTGTATGCTGGTGTACCAGCTCAGTACTGTTTGCTCACTCATTTCTTCTGTTTAATCCCTTCAGAACAACAACTTAACCACTCAAGACCACGAGAGCATTATTGTGGTGAGTAACTTTCTGTCCAGATCTGGGGACAAATCTGTATTGGTTGATAACACTTCTCTTACTGCTTAAGCCTCTGTCCTAGGGAAGTTTGGGAAGTATTGGGAATAGGTGAACGGTTGGACTGGGTGATCTTTTAGGTCTTTTCCAACCTTGGCGATTCTATGATTCTATGATTCTATGATTCTAAGTAGGGGAAAGCACTTCTATCACTGTCAGTAAGTTTTGGGTGGATCAAACCCACTTGGACTATCAGTTTTCATGTGGCTTGTTGTTCCTCTTTTAATGTTTCATGGTAGTTTCCTTGTATGAAACAGCACAGCGTAAGTAGGGTTAATCCTCTCTCAAAATGGTCTTGTTACTGGGCTATAGAGTGCTATGTTTGTATCTGTATATGTACTTTAAATAGTCAAAAAAACATCATTTCCAGATGTGCCCTATAAAACCCTTAGGCTTAGTAGTTTCCTGAGGGGCTAATGCTGCCATACACAGAATGTCTCAATTTCTGGTGGTATGTGAGCAAGTGCTTGTTTTTTGCAAGTGTAGTTACGTGTATGCACCACTGCAGTTTAACCCCCTGTTCACTTGGTTTGTAGTAATACCCTCCTCAACTTTTATCTCTTCTGTAAGTTGTGTTTATTTAGGCATAGAAATAAGTGAATCAAATGGCAACCTCAGTGTAACAAAATACAGAATCTCAACAATTTATCAGAGAGGTGGAAATTGCTTCCCCATCACTATAATTTAATTTCAGTCACTGGCAATTTCCAGGAGATTTTCCCAGTAATCAAATCTAGAACTTCACCGCCTGATGGTATCACATCTCCTTGGATCTTTCTGCAAAGTGACAAGGCAGCATGGTGCTGCCAGTAGGTGTGAATTGTGTTTAGCTGCTGCTTAAGATACCGTTTTAGCTGTGATCAGTCACTGAGATAAGTTTCTGAGGTGGCATTTACTTCTCTTTGTGATCTGCTGTAGCTTTTGTTTTCCTCCAGTTCAGTCTTCCAGTCAGAGCTGTGTTTTGAGGGAAGGACTTTTTAACAGAAGATGTCAGGTAGCCCTGCTGTGAGCAGGGATCTTTGGCTAAATGGCCTCTAAAGGTCCTTACAGCCAACATTTATCAGTGGTTCTGAGAGCTGGCTGCTTCATTCAGTCATGCCCTGCTGCAGGTTGTGCCCAGCCATGAAGGAGTTGGTGTTTTCTGCTACTGTGCAGCTAAACTATGTTATTATTAGGAAGTACTGCTGTTACTGATATATGTGTCATGTCGTAGAAGTACACAGTGATTTGCTGTGCGGATGAAACCATCTTTCCTTCTCTATATGATCCTGGAACAGATCAATATTACTAGTCATCCCTTCCTGGTAAGGGATATTGCTCACAGCTGGGTGATGTGAGACAGCAGGGTTCTGCCTTTAACCACAGGGCACAGAAAGAACACAGGCTTCTCTCACGTTGTCCCTCTTCCACAGTGACTGTACAGGCAGAGTTGGGACGCGCTTGATAAAGTCAGTTACCTACATCCAGTAGGGACTGGGCTGAACAAAACAGCTCGTTTTTTCGTAGGCTGACAGCCAACCAGCTCCACCTCTGAGGCAGTGATCCTCTGGCAGTGGTCACACAAACACAAAGATGTGGGGTTTTTGCATTGCCTGGCTGGTGGAGGTTGGCAGGCGCTATGACTGACGCTGCAGGAGGTGAATTGAAAAACGTTCCTTGGTTTGGGTGTTGGGTGGGTAGCAGAGATGCTCTGGTCTCATTGCTCAGCGTTGCCTTCTCCATCGGGCCACTGTTGCTGTGCTGCCAGCAGAGGTAGTGACTAGTTACATGTAGTTGGCACACCAGAATGAACAGAAGCTTCACAAATATTACATGGTAGCCCAGACAGGTCTTGCAGGTGCATATGGGTTTCATTGTTGAAATTCACATTAATCTTAACCTGTTTGCTTGTGAACGTGGCTGTTGTGAAACACATTTTGAGCAAACTCACTGAGGCTGAAATACTGAAGAAGACGAGAGGGAGAGCACAATGCAAAATAGGCTACCATAGTAAAACTGCAGACGCCATCCAGATAAAATATCTGGTGTTCAGTTGCTCAATACAAAATGTCCTAGCTGCTATGTTTAGAGTCTTTTAAATGGGTACTGGGAATCCCTTTAGCTCAAGATTGGAAAAGCCCAAAGGCACCATCATGTAGAGAGAATACATTGTTCTAGTACTGTTTTCTAATTTACAAGGGAAGTAACAACAAAGTAGGCTCATTATGCTCTCAGTGCCAGGTATGACCTCCAATGTATTTGCTAAGCATAACCACATTGGTTTTGCACAGAAGCAAACGAGGAATGATTTCAGAAAGTTAGATGTTTGATTTTGATAAATAGGGTCTTTCCAGGTGAGTGCTATATTTCTTTTCATGATTTGTTGGCTGTGTGTGAGCTTGAACTCTTTCATAAGAGACACATGTTTGCTTGAAGTTTTTCTGTTGTATCTTTTAGAGAGATGTTATTACTGAAACAGTGAAGCAGAGTTGTCCTTGCTGTGCTACATACCAAAACAATGGATCTGCTCTTGTTTTCATTCAAACCCTTAAAAAAAAGTGTTGTGGGTTTACACTGGTGTATTTGAAAGCAAAGATTTCCAGAGGGTTCATAGTAAGTGTAAGCTTACACGTAAAATGCACAGCCCATCTCTAATTTCTATATAGATACTTTTGTCCTTTTTTAAAAGTGAAGTGACCTCTCTTTTTGGGGAAAAAAAAAAATCCCCTTCAAAAAGCTTACTGCTGTTGTAGTCTTCTAATTAATTTACTTCTCTCTTTTTCTATAGGCAATTGCACCTTTGCTGGAAAACAACCATCCTCCTCCCGACCTCTGTGAATTTTTCTGCAAGGTATAAAAACAACCTTCTGAAATCTCCTGCTTGTACCTGAGTGTAGTTCCCAGAGGGGGTTTTGGTTTCTTCTTTAAATCCTTACCTCATGCCCAAATCTTCTGGTCAGCAATCAGTGATATTGAAATAGCTGACAGCAGCAGTCTGATAAATGGATCCATATTTTTACTGCATCAGCCTGCATAGTACTGATAATTTATAAGAGTTCAGATCTTCAGACTCCTCCACCTCGATCAGGGTACATGAGTTGTCCTACTGTGTTCTATTTAGTTAATGCAAAATCACTGAAGTCAGTGGGTTGGTATTGTGGTGTGTAACTCAGGCGTAATGGTACTGTGTCATTGGGTAATGTCAGCAGAAAGATCCTAAGGACTCGTCCTCTTTCCTGGTAAATCCATGCTTCTGCTTGCATCTTTTCTGTACAGTGTGGAGTATTTTGGATTGCAAAGCTTTGGAATTTGTAAATATTACTTTTCTTCTAGGTTTCTTTGTGTTTCAGATTTAAGTCTGCTTTAATCTGCTCGCTGATGAGTGGATGTACATTTGTCAGACTGTCTGGATCTTGCTTAAATTTCCTACCCAGAGTTACTTGTTAACAGTCACACTGGAAATTAGGTCAAATTTCAAGAAACAGCACTGACTTTGTTTCACTTTTGTAAGTCAGCCTTCGGGCTATTTCTAGACTCAAACTGAAATACCTCTAAGACTCTTGTTGCCCGCCTCCAACCTACATGGCACTTTCATATTTTTTCATGCCTTTGGTCTCCCTTCAGAACTTAATTATCTTTAAAGGTATGAGACAGGCTTTGTACAGTTGCAGCAAGGGAAATTTTGATTACAGTCTACGAACTCTCCTTCCTTAGAGATAATCAGAACTTGAGTGGGCAGGTTTAATGAGCGGGCTCATGTGTCTTCAGAACTAGCCCTGCCTTGAGCAGAAGTTTGGACCAAATGACCTTCAAGAGCCCTTTGCAGCCCAAATTATTTGGACTGAGGGAGACCCACCTTGCTAATTCTGCAGCTCACTCAATGACTTGTTCCTTACAGCACTGCCGAGAGCGCCCACGGTCAATGGTTGTGATAGAAGTGTTCACACCAGTGGTACAGCGGATTCTCAAACACAACATGGTGAGTGCGTGCTTTACGGGAACCTGGGCAAGTTAGAGCAATCTTACTGTGACGTCTCGTGTAATGAGCAACTGCTGTTTTGTCCATAAGGCACGAAGCAATGTGACACCAAAAATCAACCCCCCCAGTGTGAATGTGGCATGTAATCACGTATTGCTTCGTAATACAGAACTAATGAGCATGCAGTGGCATTCAGACAAAGCTGTGATTCGATGAGTGTTTCTCTGGGCAGCAGTGCCAACTCGTTCTGCTCCAGCTTTCTCCCACCTGGCTCCTTGTTTACGCTCTGCATGTCATCCTTACTGTTACATTGGTTTAAAATCAATTAAAAAGCAAAATCAGAATAGGGGCTTTTTTGATTTTTGAACTGAGACCCTGAACATTTTATCTTTAAAACAGTACTAACTCTCTGCAATTCTGTTTTTCCTTAGACTCATGTCCAATGTATTCTTATGCAAATTTCCTGAGTTTCCTTGTGTTTTCCTACTTGTTCTCCATACTTCTCACTCCAGGCATTATGAACTCCTGTCATTTAAGTGTTCTTTCCTAGGCTGCTTTCCCTCTTCATGTTGCCAATCAGTTCCATGGTAGTGATTGGAATAAGTGCTGGGGACTGCCCAACCAGCCTCTCTTTCCACCCCCTTCACTGAACACTGAATACATTCTTGCATGATCTGTGTTCCTTTCCAAAGGGAGATTGGAGTGCTTACTGGTCCTCCATTCTTTGAGGCATATTAAATTTCTAGCCTTGGTTTTTATGTTATGCAAATAAATTTTACTTCACAACGCTGTGGCAAAAAGTTAACAAGTAAAATATTTAAAGCAGTCAGTCTAGCTGTGATGTCAGGGATGGGTCTCATCCCTCTGCAGCTACAGAAGCAATTCCATTTCACTAACTGGTATAATTTTGGAAACCATCCCGTCTTCCTGTGTACAGCATGGATCCAGTAGAAAACAGTTCTTATTCCTTATTTTTATAACAGTATTATTTAACTCCTTGAGTTTACAGAACTGGCTGGGAAACCTAAGATGGCGAAAAGGTCATATTCCTGGCTCTGTGCCTGTGCTCTCCAGACATGTAAACATTTTTGAATATTCTGTAGCGTTCAATGAAATATTCTGTAAATGTTATTCTTGGATTTCAGGCTGATTTTTTTTAAAGAATCCAGAGCTCTTGAGGGGTCTCAAATAAAATCTAAATGCATAGTGTAGTGCTTGTATATGGTTAGCTTCAGAGAATTGGGTATATTTACTGTACTTAACATTTGCAGATTGAAAATCAACATGTCTGTACCGCAGTGTGTAGTCAGAGAATTTACGGTGTCGTATATTAATTGGAGTGGATTTGGGCACTTTACTACTCTCTGGGGATTTCTGTACTGAATAGTCTTTTAAAGAATGTGTGTGTGTGCATGTAAATAAAGTAATCCTTCAGGGAGACAGTGCTGTTGGCAGTAAACTTCATAACCTTAGGAGGCCACGTGCAATTTAGTGTGCTTAAAGCAGGAAAGCTGGCTGTCTGCTCCAACCTTTGCCACTACTTTCCTCTGTAATCTCTGGTAAGTTGGTGGCAAATTCTGCTCACATTTTCACACTTATAAAACAGAGAGAGAGTGCTTTATTTGTCTATCGTGCTGAAGTCCCAAAAGAGTAAGGATAGCATTTGTCATGCTGATGCTCACTAGTAGGTGTAGGCTGGGGATGTGCTGAGTTGCTCTGGAAGTGCTTGAAGCCTCTCTGCCTTCTGATTTCAGCTCCTTGAGGGCTCAGCCCAAATGTTTGAATACAACCATTATTGCTTTATATCTTAAGAATGAACAGTATGGATAGTGTACATCATTTAGAACCTGATGTGGTGACAGAGCATCATATTATTTTTGGAGGTATTTTATTTTAGAGCTTCCAGCAATGACATCCTCTTTGCAATCTCCTGGGCTTTTGTTCCAGTTTCAGTTATAGGGCACTTATGGGGTTGCAAATATTCATACACTGTAACTGCATGAGCCATCGTGTAAGGAGTTCCCATGAAGTTAAATGGCACCAGGGGAGGTATGAAGTCAGTGTGATCTTGTGCTGTGGAACCAAGTGCATTTGCACTGCCAGGAGGAGCTGTTAGATATTCAGTGGATTTAATTATAATACCAACTGTGAAATCACTGACAGTCCTTTTCCTGTGTGAAGTTACCACGTATCCATTCAGCAGTGGCAAAGAGCGACATGGAGATTTGAAGGGATCACTGTTCTGTCTAGGCTTGCACTCACATTTTTGGTAATTTTCTCTAGTTGTAAAACCTATCAGATGTTATGCTCTAGAAGTCCCTGAAAGCAAGATAAGTAACAGAAGCTGTCGGCACTTTGGAAGCATGTCTTCTCTTTCACAGAGCCCTGGCATGTTAACAAAGGTGCCATTTAGTTTTTCGTGTTGACTCCTCTTCCCCATCCAGGTGCTGGAGGGAAAACTAGGAGGTATGCAGTGGGTCCTGCTCAACACTTAGAAATTCAGTTCTGCAGCTCTGTAAAACCTATATCATAAGGTTGCACCTGCAAAAATTTGAGGAAATGTGCTGAGGAATAGCACTTATCAGACAGCAGATTGTACTCCTTTCACGTCTCAAAATAGCATGGAAGGTGAGGAGACGTGAGATTTCAGTTAGCAGGTGCCTTGCTGACGGCAGGACTGAAAGCAAGCAACTGTTGAGCTCACCTGTCAAATTCATGTTGTACCTAAGGGTAGAGATCCCTAGAGAGAGAACTGATCTGTGTTTTATACTTAATCACTTAAAGGTCATGTGTCAAACAAGATTCTCACTTAAAACAGAATAGACAGTATGTCAAATATTGAAGTAAAAATGCATACATAAGTTGCCTTTCTAAGAAACTCCCCACAGCCTTCTGTTCTCCAAGCTAGAGCTCAGCTCCCTCAATCTGTTTTCATAGGAGAGGTGCTTCAGCCCTTTGATCATCTTTGTGGCCCTTCTCTGGACCTGCTTCATCAGGTTCACATCCCTCCTGTTTTGGTGGCCCTGGGTTTGGGCTCAGTACTCCGAAGATCTGAGTGGAAAGGAAATTGCAAAGCATGCCATTATTAGGGAGCAGCACATTACTTCAGCGTGCAGTGGTACTGTGCTCCTGAAGCTGTCAGCATAGCAACAGAGTGAATTCAGTTGTGTTTGAATGGATTTCTTTTGAAAACCCACAATTTCAATGTACATTGCAAGCATGTTTCACCATCTTCACTGAGTCTCTCCTTTTTGGACAGGATTTTGGGAAATGCCCTCGATTGCGTCTGTTTACTCAGGAGTACATTCTGGCTTTGAATGAGCTGAATGCTGGAATGGAGGTGGTGAAGAAGTTTATTCATAGGTTAGTTACATTTAATGTTACGCTGTATTTTCCAGGCCTGTCTGCATGCTTATTTCCATTACTTCTCCCAACCCCGCTCATCTCTGTGCTTACCTGTGAGTAGCTGGTTCAGTACTGGCAAACAGCAGATAAGTGAGAGGTGTCCATACGGAAATGTTGCTGAAAACTTTTTTTTAGCTTATTCTCAAATGTATGAGAATATATGGGGTTTTCTGACTGTATACACACTGGAGGTGAATGGACACCACTGTATGTACATTTCCATTATACATTGAGACTCAAAGCCTTTATAGAGAAATTCCCATCAACTTTAGACCCCATAATGCTCAGTCATGTGAGCTTTCAGAGGAACTGTAGAGATACCACATTGAATGAACTGAAGAAGCAACTTGGCCTTCGTCTGAAGTAGACTATTTGATGGCGATTTACAATGTTAAAATAACTCTCTTATGACCTTCCTTAGGATTCCCCAAGACTGCCTATTCCAGCACCTCCTTCTGTCTGACTCTTTTTGCCCACAGAAATCTTCATTGCAGTGATGTCATCTTGGCTTTTGTTTTTCAGCATGCACGGTCCAACGGGACAATGCCCCCATCCTAGAGTTCTGCCAAATCTTGTAGCTGTCTGCTTAGCAGCCATTTATTCATGTTACGAAGAGTTTATCAACAGGTCAGTATGAATTTTCAGCTCACCCTGTATTTCTCACTTTCAAACCCTTGGCATCAAAGAGTTTTCATTCAGGCTGTAAACAAGGTTGCTGTGAGCATGGGTGTGTGGGAGCATGTCTTCATTCTCACTCCACCCATTGCTAGAAGGGGTTGTGTGTAAATCCCTGCATATCCACAGCTTTGAACCTGAGCTGGTTTCATGATACTGTCTCCATTATTGTGGAAAATCTGATTCCTGACTTACCACAAGATAGGTGCTGCAGCTCCTGACACACGAGCCAATTTCCAGTAGACACGAAGGGTTCCTGTCTGCTGTGTTTCCTGTTTGTTTATGGCTATCTGACTTTCCTCATGGTAGAGCACGGACAGGGGCTGTGTAGTGTCCAACAGAAATTCCAGACACGAGGGCTGCAGACAAGTGTCTGGGCATGCACTGTAGCCAGATACATACTTGGGCATGGATCCTGTTACAGCTTTGCTCAACTTCGATGGGAAAGTTCACCTTTATACTAAACTGGCATGTCCACTGGACTAATGAAAAGCTGAAATCTTTGTAGCGTAGGGGCTGCAGAGTAGTGCTGTTACAGCATTTTACTATTTATAGTTGCTTTCAATAATCCAGTCACAAAGGAGAAAGCAGTATGGTGGGCTAGGGTGAAAAGCAGTGGGAAATTGCGACAGATCTTGGTTTCTCCGTGTTTCTCTCTCTGTCCCACTCTTCACTGCTATGTCTGGCTATTGAAATTATTTGTTTATTTTTAAAATTCAGTCGAGACAATTCGCCAAGCCTGAAGGAAATTCGGAATGGCTGCCAGCAGCAATGTGACCGAAAGCCTAATCTCCCCCTCCGCCTTCTTCACACGAGTCCTGACCTGGTCTCTCAGGAGGCTACCTTGACTGAATCCCGGCTCAAGCCAGTCATTGTCACTTCAAATGAGATCCATGTGGAAGTGGAGCACAACAACAAGGCTAATCAGAAGATGACAGCCAACGTGGGCAATGACAGCGAGCCCAACCTGATTGACTGCTTGATGGTCAGTCCCACCTGCAGCACCATGAGCATTGAGCTGAGCGCCCAGGCAGACAGGATCCTTGGCTGCTATGTGGAAATACTCAAGATGCTGTGAGTAACTATTTTAAACAGCGTTTTGAACAGTGTCATCTTAGCAATGGGGGAGCTTTTCCCACAGGCCTCTCTTCTTCAACATCTGTGGCCAGCAAGCACACGGTTATAAATCTAACTCCAGCACTGGCGTCTAGCCTCTGAAAGAGACATCTGGCACTGCCAATACATTCTAAAAATAGCATTAGGAAGATGAAAAGGGAAAGCTTATTTGTACAGTGAGCCTCACGCATGTTACAGAAGACAGGACGTTGTTGCCAGTGGTTTCTGTTTTGTTCTTAGCTGCCAAAATAAAAGATCCATTTATCTCCTCCAGGGCTGTTGGGATTGCCCAAGACAAAGCTCAAAAATGTAGACCCATGTTAGGCATGTGGCTTGTGCAGCAATATGCAGCACTGCTGCCTTGGCTTCTTCAGGAGCTGGATGAGGACAGTATTTGTCATTTAGGTATTCTCCTTGCATGTTTGTAGAATTTTTATGGCCTGCTCAAATTTACTTCTGTTATAATAGATCCTCTGTTTGTTGATCGATTGCTTTGGTACAGCAAACCTGTATAATGAACGAGTGCTCAAATAACCTTTACTGTATGATGGCTTCATAGTTTCCTGGGAGGCAAATCTTCTGAATATGTTCAAGAGGAATGTAAAATACAAAGTTCTCTGGGAAACGCTTGCTTATCTCCTGGATAAATAAATAAATGAAAGAAGGAGTAACACAGAAAGTGGACTGCAGAATAGAAGCTTGTAATAGAACATATGTTCATGAAGGAAAACAACCTGAAACAGTTTTGTTGGCTTTGACATACAGCTTTCCTACTGTGTGGCAGTATGTCTATAGGCAAACACTAATGATTTTTAAACAATGAAAGGCTTAATGAAGTAATAGTTGATTTTTTTTATTTTAATATTACACAACAGTGGGTAAAATTCAGACTCCTCTGTAAACTGTATTTAACTACAGTGGAGTCAAGTGCTAGCCTGGGTGCACATTTTCCAGGAACTGCATGAAGTCCAAATGCCGTAATGAAGGATTTTGTGAAAGTTTTTTTTTCCCACATTTTCAGTATTTTCAGAATATTTAACACCAATGTTAATGTAATTACTTCACTCACCTTTGAGCTGTCTTGCAAATACAATTGTAAGGACAAACAGAGTTGGAGACGGGACAAATGGATCCAAGGTACTGTTCCCATTAGATTCTTGAGCAGGAGGCTGCTGAAGGATAATTTTTGTTTCCTTACCCTATTCTCTACCTTCAGGAATGTTAGCATTTAGAATTGCAGGGCATCTGTCTTTCCTCCATCTAATGGTTTCTAAGTCTTCATGCACTGAGACCCAGGTGCTGCATTAAACATGTTGTGTATTTATTCCTGTCCCCATGACTCTAGATGTTTTCCATAAACACTGTGAACCCTTTCAGTCCTGATGCTGGCTTGGATGCTGACTCATTAAGCACTGACGGTTTTGGTTTCATCACGCAGCTGACACACACTTACAAACACATTTGCAAACAGGCATGTTCGTCCTCACAGTCTCTCTAAATTTTCAAAGTTTGATATGCCAGGTCTCCATTCCCATATTACTTCCTGCACCAAGAACTCTGTATTTCATTCTGTACCTTAAAACAATTTTTAATCAGTTTTTATTTTTTTTATTTTCACGATCACAATTGATGCAACTTCCCTTAGACTGCCTTGCCGGAACCCACACCCTGCTTAAGAAATCACAACCTGTGAAAATACAAGGCAGTGTCTAAGCCAGCACCACAGCTGGTATATATTGTCACACAGCTCACAGTTCCACTGATTTGGGTTCCCTTCCATTCCTGTTCGTCCTTGGATTTATTTTTTATTTTTGGTCCCAAAAACATTCATGCACAAATGAGTTCCATTCGTGGTTCTGCTGCTAGCTTACTGGGAGGTCTTAGATGAGTTGCTTTTTTCATGTGCATCATTTTCTTTATTTGTAATATAATGGTAAACTAAATAAAGCATTGGAAAAGCACTGTAGAAGGGCTAGTACTTACTGACAGAAGTGCTGGACAATCCTGTTACGATGCTGATTTTTTTGCATGCCAAGCTCTTCTTGAACAAAGCCTTTCTGAGGTACTAAACACTGTTACTGTACTTTGAAAAATGGAAGATTTGAAGAAAGGGAGTTGGAGATCATGCCAATAGGAAGAAAACATTCATTATGAAAATAACAGCTATCCAGAAGCTGAGCTCTCAGCGGGCAGCCACTAAAATAATGTTCTTATTAATAACAGTGGTAAGCCAAACATAAATAAGTTGCTTAGCATTGAATTTAATTGTTCTTTTAGGTGTCTGACTCAATATCATCATTAAAACGAGAGAGTCACCAACAATGGTATTCTTTTTTGCATAATTAACTTAGGGCAGCAGGGAGTAATTTATTTAGGCAGATTTTAATTATTGAAAGTCTAGCAAATGAGAATTCTTAACAGTTTTCTTCAGCAGAGGACTTTTTATTGTTCACCTAACGCCTACGTGATACATACTTTTGAATAAAAAGCTTCTAATAGTGATTAGAAAGTAACAGCAATTATTTAATAGCCACTGTAAGGCCTCACTTTTTGCACAGAAGACTAAAGTGCAGATTAGAGAGAGTTTGGCTGTATTCACAGCACTAGAAATATCTTTGAACCTTTTGTAACATGGTTGAGTAACAATACACAACTATTGCATACTACAGGAAAACGTGAAATCATGGATTGAAAGATGTTGGCAGAGGAAGGGCAGTCTTTAGTGGAACATAGTATTTTCGTCCTGCACTCAGAAGTAGATCAGACTCCTATGTCAATATCCCCTAATGCAGTCTGGATTCTGATAAGGTTATTGATGCCAGCCTGAATGCTACGGTCTTAAATTGGTGCTTAGAAAATGCACTAAATTAATTGAAATCTTTCCGTGCATCATATTGAATCTGGGGATCTGAGAGCTGCTTAGCGTTGCCCAGCTCCTTACTTGAATGCTAATCTTTCTATGCATTAGGGAATTTCGTGTACAGTCGAACTTAGGCTTGAACATCACATCTGTGGTTAGAAAAATTTGTGGTAAGCAAGGCTGTGTGTCCTCTTCTATGGAGTGAATAGCATCAAAACCTGATGTGGTCCGAAGAGCTCCAGATGGCACTTGGTGCTGTACCTAACAGAGGGCCCGAGGGGCTGTTTGCCTGCCCCAGCCCTGAGCTCAGCCCCATGCAGTGTGATTCAGAGGAGCTGAATCAGAGGGGCACATGTGTTGGAGGACTTGGCCATCTTTTTCCTGCCAGGTAACAAAGAAGTTGCCTAAAAGATGTTTGATCTTGCCAAGCCTCTTGATCTAGAGAAACAAGCTATTTCTTTACAGTTGCTCCTTGTCTCCTTATTGTGCTCTAAAAACGAAGAGGATTTGGGGCTTGCCGTCTCTGGGCGGTAAGACTGCCAGCCTTCCAAATGCAAGTCTCCGCCGGAGCTTCCCCTGCCTTCCCCGCATTCCCCAATAGGTCAGGGGCATGCTCTGCATATCCCAAGAGGATTCTCTTGTGTCATGTTTATCAGGGTTGCCCCGGGCTGCTAATATGTTTTGGATTGTTTGTGCCGCACATGACATATGGGCAGGTTTTCATTTTGGTGAAAGGTGATCCCTGGCAAGGAAAATGTATTATGTCGACAGGCCGATAGCAACGATGGCCCGAAGGCAAAATCACTGTGGAGGGGGATTAGGCCAGACAGGTTGGCCAGGGCTGCGGGCTGTCCCTTCAGAAGGGCTGTTTGTAAGCCCGGTCATGGGGCTTGAGCTCTGTGCAACTTGGCACCCATTGAGGGGCTGTAATGGGACTTTGTTCTCCAAGCCCTCCCCGTATCTCTGTGCTCCATCCCCTCCTGTGCAGCCTTAGGGCCAGGCTTCTCAGCTGGGGCAAATGGTGGCCCTCCCTCACTGCTTCCAACACCTCTGCTATGTGCCAGAGCTCTGAATGGGCCCGAAAAGAAGACAAAAGAGGCAGCCGCCTGAAATGAAAGGAGAAGTCAGATGAGATGAGCGCAGACAGAAAGAAAGTGTTTTTGAAAAGGGAATAGGTGGGAGGAGGAGAAACACCGTAGGCTTTTAATAAGTAGTTTAGTTTTATTCTTGTGCTGTGTTTGTTTCATGTTTCCTAGCATAGATTGAAGGGATTACAGGCTGTGTAGATTTTTTCTTCGGGTCCCACTCATGTGACCAAGTTCTGTGTTTTTCACAAGAGACAGATTTCTTCCTTTCTTCTGCTAGGAAGATACGCAGCGGTTGGTTCTCTCGGGCTTTGCTCTGCAAATGGATGCAGCACGTAACTCCCAGCTCTCATCAGGGTGATGCTTTCCAATTCTGTCGGCAGCGTTGGTCTATTACAAAGCAGCTTTTTTTCTGCTTGTTGCAATTTCCTTTGAAGAGCAGCCAGGAAAAATTGATTGGTTCCCATTATTACTAATCACGGTTCTTCAGATTGCTCAGGGAGGAATTTTAGTGGTGTAACACTTAAACTGAGATGTCGCAGGAGCTAAGCCTCAAAGTGCATCTCAGGAGAGATTGGTGGATGCTTTATTTCATGTGATGTGAAACACCTTGAGCACCTTCTGAATTTTCTCATGCAACCTTTTGACATTTGGGTCTCTCCTGCTCAAAATTCTGCCCATGAAGTTCTTTGCACTACACGGAACAAAAAAACCCTGTCATTTTTGAAGGGAAGTCAGGTGCAGTTTTAGGAGGAATATTCAAACGATAGCGATAATAATAGAATGGGTTCATTAGATTTGTCAGTTCTTTGAGGACACAGACTCAGGAGCTGAAGTCCATTCCCAACAGAGCTCATCTTAGAGGAGCTAGCTCAGCACCTCTCTCTGCAAGTGTTTCGTGACATTCTCTTTACACAGGCAAAGTGGGAAAATGGTTCCATGTAATGAAGCCCTGCCTCGCCTCGGGCTGCTTGGAGGCACCAAACAAAATTGGTCGTCTTCACAGTTTTTTTAGCATCTAGTGATGGTTGGACCAGATGATCTTAG